TATAGCTTTTATAAAGCTGGGATCATACTCTATGTTTTTGTAACACGAAAAGGAAGTCTAGTATATTGTCCAAGGAGTGAGTGGTTATGTCCTCTTTTGCTTTGAAGAATCAAATAGTAGTGTTATGATTCTTAAAACCAAATTTAGGATGACATTTTAGATCTGACTGACTTTTCCAGCTTTTGAGGGTTGGCAGTCTTGCTTTTTAACAGGAGTATAATTGGTTGCTGTCACTGCTGATATTTTATAAAATGTTAACTTGTAACAATACATTTAACTTGACAACTTCTGAATAATCTTTTAGCATTATGACCCTTTTTACAGATGAGAAGAGGGAGGCAAAAGGAACTACATCAGGAGGATGGTAAAGATTATAAGATGTTTGCTTTCATTCTGATACAGAGAATACAAGTTTGTATCACTGATTTCTCTTTCTGAGCAAGAACTTCAAGCTAAAATTCAACAATGCATAATGCTTTAGCGTGAAAACATTTGGAAGGAATTAAGGGTTCTTTATTTGGTTATAGCACCTCATGGCAACTTGTATATTACTGAAGTGTGGCACAAACTTGGCAAAAAATCAGTTATAAGATGTAATCATCATAAGGTAAGAATTTTTATATACAACTAACACATTAGTTTCTTACTGTGTGTCAGGCACTGAGCTAATTACTTTAAAATATATACTCTCATTTAATCCTTACATTAACTCTTAGAGGTCAATGTCATTATCACCCACATTTTGCAGATGAGGAAACTGAGGCTTAGAGAGGGAAAATAACTTCTCAAAGCTCACCGTGTAACTATGTACATGGGATAGGCCCAGACTAGGTCTAAAATCTTGGTCCTTTGCCACATTTCTTACATATTTTCTCAGCTGTTATGCTAAAGGGTTAACTAATGCCATATATACATATACAATCGATTTTCAACCATAAGAGAAAATGATGGCTGAAATATTTTTGGCATTTGGTTTAATTTCCTCTTAGAATAAGCCTTTTATTACAGGTGTGATTGACTCCTTAAATTGACTTGTCAATGTTTTCTTTCCCTTCCCTTGGCAACAAATAATAAATTTACTATAAAATAGGTAACAGAAAAGAGAAATTAAAAGTAGGGATTGGGGCCGGGCGCGGTGGCTAATGCCTGTAATCCTAGCACTCTGGGAGGCCGAGGCGGGTGGATCACTCAAAGTCAGGAGTTTGAAACCAGCCTGAACAAGAGTGAGACCCCATCTCTACTAAAAATAGAAAGAAATTACTTGGCCAACTAAAAATATATAGAAAAAATTAGCTGGGCATGGTGGTGCATGCCTGTAGTTCCAGCTACATATGTATCTCCTCATCTGGCTGTTTATTTGTATCCTTTAAAATATCCTCATAAACTGGTAAATATAAGTGTGTTTCCCTGAGTTTAGTGAGCTGCTCTAGCAAATTGGTTGAGTCTAAAGAAGGGGGTTGTGGGAACCTCAACTTCAAGCCCATCAGTTGGAAGTTCTGGAGGCCCATACTTGCGACTCGTGTCTGAAGTAGGGGCAGTCTTGTGGGACTGAACCCTCAACCTGTGGGATCTGATGCTATCTCCAGGTAGATAGCATCAGAATTGAATTGGGTCAGAAGATGCCCAGCTGGTGTCTGCTGTAGAATTGCTTGCTTGCTTGTTCGTAGGGAAAAATCCCCACACCATGTAGTCACAGGAGTCTTCTGTGTTGATTGTTGTGGTGTGTGAGAACAGAGGAGAAATAGTTTGTTTTACAACCTAATATATGTATATCTGTATCAATATATATAGACACACAAATATATATATTTATATATATGCATTTTACATATGTGTGTGTATATATGTGTATATATATGCATATATATATACACACATATATATATATTCCCCCCAAAGAGACCTTTAAGGAGGAATTTACCTGAAATACATATTTTTCACACTTTATATATTAATAACCTTGTATTCAAAGATACTTCAGTGACATAATGTCACAAAGTTCATAGGTAACAAAATAATACAAAGATGCATTCCATGGAGGGGGGGAATAGGTTATAAAAATATTAAAAATAGTGGTTAATGTGTTTTAGAAGCAGATATACAACCTGGAAGTCTGTTGACAGATGAGAAGTTTAGGATGTAGGGTTAGATGCACCTGTGGACAGAGAAGAGATGATGGGGGGGGGTATGGGGAGTGATCCCTTGTATGAGATTCTGGGACAAATAAATCCCTCAGAGTGGTCCACCATGACCACTGAAAAGCTCAGAACACTGGCAAGACTTAACAGGGAAATACTTAACAGAAGACCAGGAATTAGAAGAAGCAGGGAATTACAGATGCATGGGAAAGACATAGCCTGATGTGTTTCATAGACACTTCAGATCACCTCTTGACCTATTATTTTGGATAATCTCCTACTGTCGTGGCATGGTTCTCACCTCTTACTGCACAGGCAGCTACAAAATGATACTGGTCATCTCCTTTCCTTAATCTATTGGCAGTTGTCTCTAGAGCAGGGTTTCTCAACCTCGCCACGATTGATATCTTGGGCAAGATATTTCTTTTTTTTTTTTTTTTTTTTTTTAGTCAATAAGGTATATTGGCACAAGATATTTCTTTGTGGGACTTTCCTGTGCATTGTAGGGTGTTTAGCAATATCCCTTGCCTCTACCCACTAGATGCCAGTAGCATTTCTGCAGTTCTGACAATAAAAACATCTCCAGACATTACCATGTCCCCTGGGGCAAAATCCGCCCCCCCCCCTTGTCAGTTGAGAAGCACTGTTCTAGATTATGGTAGGTCAGCATGTTTTGGGAGTCAGTGTCCAGTAGCTGCACCCTGGTCAGGCCCAAGGCCTGTCTCTCCAGTAGGGCAGGGGACTATCCTTTCTGAATACTTTTTCCAGTCTGCTGAAAAAGGCTACAGATCATCTTTAGATGTAATTTTGGACTTCATGGACTTTCAGAAGTCAGCTCTTTGACAGTTTATAAAAGGCACTGAGAAAAGGGGTGCTTTTATTATCCAAAGGCCATTTACTTCACCTAGTTAATATGAAAAGTGGTGAGCCAGAGTGTATTTTCACTTACTTGTTAAGTACCAAGAATGACTATATTATTAGTACCTGTTTCAGTAATCAAATACTACACTTCTTCAGGACAGAAATTTGCCATTTGTTCCACGGATGTATACTAAAGAAAGGAAACTATTAATCAAGAAGACAACATAAGAACCCCAGAGCTGCAGAATTAAAGAAAAGTCAAAACAAACTACCACAAGGTATTTTACAAACTGAGTGCCCACTGGCCTTCTCAGAGGTCGAATTTCCGTGTTCCATTCAAACATCAAGAAAACACGAGCAATCTCAGAATTGAAGATTGAACTGAATCTCTCCAGTTTCTCCCACTGCCTCAAACAATGTGTTTTAAAACATTTCAGACAATAAACTAAGCACTTTTCCTTTGCAAAAAGAAAAAAAAAATCAAGAAGACATAGGCTTATTCCAGAGTAAAAAATTTGTACTTTTCAGATCAGAAAGATGAAATCTGCTTATTGGATTTCAATTATATTGTACATATTGACAAGATTATCATAAACCTGTTTAAACAGCCAAGGACCAGCAGTCTTGAACTTTACTAATAGGTTGGTTTCTAAATTCCATCTGTAAGCTAGCATTTAGAACATACTTTGCTACAGAAAAATGCTATAAATTGGCAGCTGGGTTCCCATGTCCATCTACAATTGTCTGTCACTGACTACTTAGCACTTGTGACAGAACTCAGAGGCCCCCATCATTTCCAGTGATGGCCTTACTCAGGGAGGAGGGCTTTCTGTGAGTATTGAGAGGCGATTAGCATGGAAGATAAGATTAGGTTAATTCTCCTGGGTACCAGGTCCCTTAACTACATGGCATTATGTATAATTACAAATGAAGTAATTGCTATATTGGGGTGGCAAATGGGGTGATAAAGTAGCACTGGAGTTCAGCTTTGTATATGGTTGTTAAGAGCTAGCTATATATATTTAGGTATTCAACTTTTTTTTTTTTTTTTTTTTTTTGAGACAGAGTCTTGCTCTGTTGCCCAGGCTAGAGTGCCATGGCATCAGCCTAGTTCACAGCAACCTCAAACTCCTGGGGCTCAAGCAATCCTCCTGCCTCAGCCTCCCGAGTAGCTGGGACTACAGGCATGCACCACCATGCCCGGCTAATTTTTTCTATTTTTAGTAGAGACAGGGTCTCACTCTTGCTCAGGATGGTCTCAGACTCCTGGGCTCAAGCGATCCTCCTGCTTCGGGCTCCAAGTATTAGGATTATAGGTGTGAGCTACCGCGCCAGCTTGGGGATTCAACTTTTATTTGTTACACTAAATATAAACACATCACTTGTTACTTCTTAACAATTTGGTACACATTGAAAATGTAAATTTAGAGAGGGGGTAAAGGGCTTTATGTTATTACAGAGCAGTGAGTTATGGGGTTAGCTATCCCTATCATATTGCAGAAGGTGACTGTACTGTTCTTTACCACTACTCTCAAAGGTACAGAGAATACCTTTGCCACAGTGGAGTGTTAAAAGCTCATAAAGTAGAATTAGCCTGTGTGGGTACAAAGACTGATTTTTGCCTTTGCTAACTAGCTATGTGACTTTGGATAAGTAATTTATCCGAGCTTCAGTTCCTTCATCTGTAAAATAGAGAACTCAAAGAGTTGATATGAGGATTAAATCAAACAATGCATCTAACTTGCTTAACACAATGCTTGGCACATGGCATGTACTCCATAAATGTTATTATTGCTGTTACTCAGTCTGATTCAGTTAGACACTTCTTCCTTTGGAAAGATAGGGGGAATAACTACTTGTCTTTTGGCTTCAGTGTTTAACCTGAACACTACATATTTCCAAGAAATATGTATTTATATTCTCCAAGAGAATATACCTGAACACTACATATTTCCAAGAAATATGTATTATATTCTCTAAGAAATTACTGCTATAACACAGTGTGGTAATAAAACAGTGAACTTTATTGAGAAGTTCCAAGCATCATGACTTGAGGAAGTATTTCAATTCTGTTTATCGAAATACTTCAGTTTGCCAGCTGGATCTGGGATTATCTGTTAAAACAAAATAGCAAATTAATCACTTTAAAAGGCAAAGTACATCATCAGTAGTCTATATGTTGACTAAAGAAGATAAAGATTATTTTTGCATATCAAATTCTATCATATATATTTAAGAAAAACTATATTTTTCCTATCTACTAATTTCAGCTATTCCAAAAGAAATCATTTATTTGTTTATAAATTAACATCTGTACTCAAGCACCCCAAAATTTACTTACAGCTCTTCTTTCGGCCACCAGGCTTTCATGGTATCTTCAGGTTTGATCTAATTAAATCAAACACATTGAGAGCATGGCTACAGATGTTAATATATTTTTTAAATCATTTGCTGATAAAATGTTGGTATGCCACAATAACCTGAAAAGGGGATGGTGTGTTCATTAAGGATTTACTAAGGTCTAAAATGCAACTTTTTAGGATAATCTCAAGCTGCAAAGTAAAAAAAAAACCTCATATATATTAAGCATTACTGCTAATAATTAGTTAATGAATAAAAATACTCTCATGGTCTAAGAGCACAAGAGTATTTAGAAACCTATTACATTTAAAAAATTTCTTCCAGGGGCCGGGCATGGTGGCTCATGCCTATAATCTCAGCACTTTGGGAGAATGAGGTGGGAGAATTGCTCGAGGCCAGGAGTTTGAGACCAGCCTGGGTAACATACTGAGACACTGTTGCTGCAAAAAAATGAAAAAAAATTTTTCCACTATAATTTGACCTCACAATTAGCTATGTTACTTGCTAGTAAATATGTAAAGTAAACCTATCTTTATATATAAAAAATAATATAATCACTGTATTCACTGATTTTGAACTAATTTCTGATGGGTTTACAAAACAGCTTTGCCTTTGAGGTCAAAGTTAATGTTACAATAGCAACTTACTCATCTCTACATCCATTTGATGGATCTCAAAGGAAATTTGAAGCCATACATTATTTTGAGCACTAGGTAATTTAAACTATAGATTAGTCATTAGTTTACATTTATTGGCTGTGAGGCTCACAGGTAGAAATATGAATCAGAAGCTGCAGGCATAAAAAGTAGCTTAAGAAGCCTTAAAAAGCATTTCTCGATAGATCTTCAAGGTATAGGGCACTTCCCCTGGAGGTGTAGCAAAACCAACTGTGACTGATAAATAACATTACGTAACACTAATTATAGAATTGTGCTAGGTATCTAAGTCCCAACAGATCAGTGAGATCTTCCAAGAAATACAAATTAACTATGAAAGACATTACAGGATGAATAGTATACATTTCAGAAAACATGTTGACTTGATTAACTTTTGGAGGCCACAAACCCCTTTTGAGAATCTGATGAAAACAATCTGATTCTCCCTCCAGAAAAATGCATGTGTTATCATATACTGTATATGGTCATTCTTTTCTATTTTTAATTGACAAATAATAATTTTATATATTTATGTGTCTCATCATTTTTTCAACAGACCTGCTATTCAAACTATTATATAGCCATACAGTATTTATTAGTTAACAACATAGCCAAAGTCCCTGCCCTTGGAGTTACATTCTAATTCTAATTTTAGGTTGTGGTAAATGCTTTTAAAAACAGGTTGATGGGGCTAGGTGCTGTGGCTCATGCCTGTAATTCCAGCATTCTGGGAGGCCATGGTGGGAGGACTGCTTGAGGCCAGGAGTTCAAGACCAGCCTGGCAACATAGTGAGACCCCATCTCTACAAAAAATAAAAAAAAATTAGCCAGGCATGGTGGTGTGTGCCTATAGTTCCAGCTACTTGGGAGGCTGAGGAAGGAGGACTGCTTGAGCTGAGCCCAGGAGTATGAGGTACCCCAGCGTGAGTAACAGAGCAAAACCCTGACTCTAAAAAACCCTGACTCTAAAAAACAAAACTAAACAAAATAGGTTTATGGGATAGTTCCTGGGTGGGGGTAAAGTGGTGACAAAAGATTTCTAACATAACATTTGAGCTGAAATATGAGTAAAGAGAGGGAGCCAGTAATGCAGAGAGCAATGGAGAAAGAACAGCAAGGACAAAGGACCTCAGGCAGGAGCCAGCTTAGCATGTTCAAGGAATGGAAAGGAGGCACACCTGAAGTTATAAGAGTAACTGTCTACTTCTGATTGTCTATGGCTAATGGTACTTTTTTTTTTAAGTTTATTAAGGACAAAAATCTTAGGAGTCTATATTTTTCTATTATCTTAAGGTAACAATTTCCTCCTCCAATGCTCTAGTATTTTTCAATTTTCTAACTACAGTTTGGGTAAAACTCTTGATTTTTAGAAGATAAAAATGTTATTTCAAAAAAGGTTCAAGCGAATTTCTAAATTGTGTTTTGGCTAGAGACTACTACAAGGGCTGTTTATAAATTATATAGCCTCCCTAAATGAAAGAATATACCTGTTTCAATCTTTTCTTTCTTCATGACATGGAAAGAATCATTAGTTTCAGTATTAATTAAGCCAGATTTTCTCAAAAGCTTTTTATTACATATAGAACAGTTTTGCTTGTCACTGTTTTCTTTGCTCACAATATAAGAAGAAATTCCATACATGACCTCTAAGGCCTACCAATCTCCACTCTGCCTTTCTTGTTTTTTTGGAATTATATATTTCTCTGGATATTTGGTATTAAAATTCACAGCATTAAACCCCAAATTCTGCTTTTTCCAGTTTCAGCTACTCTTCCTACAGTCAAAAGAATGTCTGTACTCTATGATTTCTGCTTAGCAATGTTTACTTCATTTACAAAATCAAGACAGTTGTATTACAAGGAAAGATTATCCTAAGGTTGGCTTTTTTTGGCTTGAGCTATCCCTTTAACAGAAAAATCAATATGACTTACTGTTTCACTACCAGGTTTCCAGCCAGCAGGGCAGACTAAAAGGAATAAAAATGGGCAAAAGATAGTTTAAAAACAGAGTTCAGTTCTCTTTAGCAACTCTTGACTTTTTCTATTTCCATATGAAACCAAAATTAATAGACTATATTAATAAGAGTATTTCCAGACCACTGAGCACTTGACTTCTGTTAGCTTGCCTACTCGTACCAAGGAATTTTAGTCATGAAGCTTAGCAGCAGACAGCTCATCTATTTTCATTTTTACCAATTATGTTTAATAACATTTATAATGTAAGAAATCAAATTGAATGTCCCTCTAATCCAGTTGGAAAGTTTGGGAATCTGGTGAACTGAAAGTCCTGGGCACCGCTAAAATTCCTCTGAATTTACATAAACTTCCAGTAAGCTTGTGTACTACCTATCTTGTGGTATTTTGTACTGATGCTGTGGTTCACTGTTTGTCAAGAAACTTTAGGATATATCCAGACTCAGTTACTATTTTAGCAAAATGATGAACTGATAGATTACCAGAGTGTGATACTGAGTAAGCCTGAGGATTACATTATTACACTTGATCTTAGCCAAAAAGTCAAGAAGCAATTGAGGATTACATTATTTTAAAAAGCTAAATCCAATAATGTAAACATGCAAATAAAACCCATGTTACTAAATATTGCCAGATGGGCACATGCTAAGTTTACAGAAACATAATTTGAAAAATTGTAGTAGCAGAAACTTTTCTCTTTGAGCTTATCAAAAAGGACCATGCAGATAATGAATGCTTTTTGCATATTACTCAGTAAGCAGAAAATATTAGAGATATTTTGTTAAAAGCACTTTAAATTATAATTTGGTCTGCTAATAATTTATAAATAATCAGAAGACTTTGGAACCATCTAAATTACTTTTAGGATGAGAAACCAACTAATTATGCTGTTATCTCTCAAACTAAGATATCAAAAGGTTAGAAGGGAAGGGTACCTTCTCCATGTTTGTCAGTGTACTGGAATGCTTGAACCAAACGTAGTGTCTCATCCACCGATCTACCCACAGGAAGGTCATTCAGAGTAATCTGTCTAAGGATTCCCTTGTCATCAATAATGAAGAGACCTCTGCAAAACACAAGAATGGTAGAGGTGAGGCCATTTCTTCTCAGTTAAGACAAGTATTAGTTAATGTAAATTTCTGTACCATCCACACAGAATGATGCTATACAAAACAACATGCCTACTTTACTGGTGTATACATACACACCCCCCCCCAACACCCACCGCCCCATCAATCTAGTATATAATTTGGGATTGTCACTGCTCAATTGTACCCTTAAAAATTTGTTTTTGGCTAAGAAATGTACTGTAGTATTATTTATGGTTGCTTAAGATAATCTGATTTAAAAAACTATGTGCATGTGTTATTTTGAAAATAAAAAAATAATTAAAAAGAAACTATTGGCTCAAATAAAATAAAATAGCTAGTATCAGGTAATTTTACTTGATTAATGTTTAAATAATTCCACATTTTAAAATTGCCTCAGTTTTTTCATACTCTTTGGGGATTAACTTAGTAATAGACTTTATTTATTTGGAGCAAAGAATCATTTTATATTGATTAAAGGTAGAACCTACAATGGAAATATTATATTCAATAACTTCTATAAGCCAAATGACATACCTTTAAAATATATAAACTTGATATTAGTCAAAAGGCCAAGAAGTGACACAAAGCACTTCTTGCAATCAGCAATATAACAAAATTATAACTGTTTTAGGCTAAAATTGCCCTCTTTTCAAATAATTCTATTAACATTTGTTAGCTCAAGTAACCTAGTGAGAGCTCCTGGGTAAAATATTTCCTTTTCTCACTCCGAAAATATAAGTGTGCTAAATACTATGATATTTGTTTTTAGAAAAAACATTACTAGAGTCAGTTTGGAAAAAGGAAAAAGAAATGAACAAGGAGTTGGGGGACCTAGGTTCAAGTCTGTGTTCTGCAATGAACTACTTATATAAATTTGGCAAAGTTCATGGAACTCCAGAATCTGTCTCTTTAACCTATAAAATGACAGGGTTAATGAAAGACCTCTAAATAATCTTCCAGCTCTAATAATCTATGACACTAACATACTTTAAGTAGGGCTACTGTAAATTAACATAGTTTAAGTTTAGCAATTTAATTATTTTTAAGGATATCTACAACATTTTTGCAAACAGAACGAAATAATATTTCATGGTCAAAACTTGTATCTTCTAACTCATAAATAACATTCATTTCTTTTTTTTTTATATTTAGATTCAAGCCTTTATTTTGTTTAAATAAATCCCAGCTTTTGTTAGCTTAAAAAATGTCACCTTTACTCCAATATGTCAAAGGAACTGGGTACTAGATTACTACAAAGTTCTTTTTCCAGAAGACCTTGTAAGATAACATAGGAAGAAATATTCAGTACTGTAAATTCTAGACTGTGATAAGTGACAAATAAATTTACTAACACTGGTAATTTACATGGAAATCAGAGAAACAGTCAATCTAACATTACATTTCATTCTTTTTTTTTAGACAGAAGTGATTAAACATGTATATTCAAATTTAAATTATTCATAAAAAAATTTTTGATGTGCTATATCACCGTTGTTTCTTATGCTGGAGACTCAGACTTGTGGGGGGAGGGGAGGAAAGGGCATTTATTGAAACCTTAAAATCTGTACCCCTATAATACGCCGAAATAAAAAAAAATTAAAAAAAATTTTGTTAATGGGAGGTGAACAGGTGGAAGGGGGGAGAAGGGGAGGGGCACACACTTTCATGGTGGGTGCAGGGCGCACCACTTGAAGACTAGACACGCTTGAAGCTCTGGCAGAGTGGGGTGGGGAGGGGGGCAGGGGCAAGATATGTAACCCTAACAATATTTGTACCCACAGAATTTGGGGAAAAAAAGATTTAAAATACTTTGATTTATCATAAATTTGATATATGATTTATCAAATTAGCAAAACATTTATTTCTAATAATGCTTGAAGCTAATGCCACAGCTACTGTAGTTATGAATAACATTCATTTCAAGGAGGATTATAAATATACTTGGATTTGTCATAATGTAAAACCACTGAAAGGTACCTAAGAGTGTGGCCTGAGTCCTCTAGATATACACCATAGTCCTTTGAGATCTGATGGTTCAAGTCTGAAAGAAGTGGAATCTTTATTGGCCCAAGTCCTCCTTGTTTTCGAGGGGTATTAATCCTGTAACAGAAAACTTAACTCTCAGCTAAGTAAACAGCATATATTAAAACAGCACTCTTTCTCTGCATATGCATGTGCATACACACAAACACACACAATACATTCATTCTTCCTCTAACAAAAACAGGCTAATGTACTTTCTATTTTCTTGCTTTCCCCCCCACTTAATATATTCATGTCCTTTAAACATTAAAGATGAATATATACAACACATTTTTAATGTACGGACATACTGATGCTCTCCACTTAGGACAGGGCTACATCCTGACAAATCCATTTTAAATTGAAAACACTATATGCTGAAAATGCTCGTAATACCCTACACACCCATTGTAAAGTTGAAAAACTATAAATTGATCCATTGTAAGTTGGGTACTATCTGTACTATATTTTACTAATCTCTACTGACAGACATTTAAACTGTTTCCATTTTTTTTGCGTTTATAAACACTACTGGAAACATCCTTGTATTCTCATCTTTTTATACTTGTCTGATTAATTTCTAAAGTGAAACTGATAGATCGAAGGATATGTACTATCATAAGCATAACCTAAGAACTGTGATCACAAGACAAATCCTTGAGAGAGGCAGGATACAACTGGATGACATTTTAATATTCTGAGACAAAGAAACACAAAGTCCACTTGAAGTAGTGAAGGAAGTTATAATCTCAGATGTATCAGTCCTCAGATTTAAGTACAGGTTGAGTATCCTTTACCCAAAGTGCTTGGGGACAGAAGTATTTTGGATTATTTGCATACTTGCCAGTTAAGCATCTCTAATCCGAAATCCAAAATGTTCCAATGAGTACTTCCTTTGAGTATCATGTCAACACACAGAAAAATTCAAATTTTTTTGAGCACTTTAAATTTTGGATTAGGGATACTCAACTTGTATTCTGTAACTGGAAACCAGGAGATATGAGCTGGTACCCCAATGGGAGGGCACTGACATAAAAGCTAGAAAACAGGGCAATGGCCCCAGTTCTAACATACAAGTAGAAATCTCTGGTTGGTATAAAACCTATTCAGCTGAGAACATATCCCCAAATTCTCTTAGAAAAGTAATCCCAAATTATTTGGGATGACACTTTTTCCTTGGTGGACATGTGTTTTGATCCTAGGAAGATTTAGAATTACTATAGAAATAATGAAGTAAATTAAGCCTATAGTTTTAATATTTTTATATTAAGAAATAATTGGTATATATTTATATGTTATTTGTAATGTTTAAGAGAATTTGGCACATTAGAATTATAAACTTGTTTCAATTTGTAACTTTTACATTAATTTTTACAAATTACTGCTTGAAAATTATAAAATCTGAGTTTGACTTGCTATACTAGGCAACTATGTGACAGAGAAATGGTATATTTTAAAGGTTTTTTTTCCTTCAGATTAAGGTTACCCAATTAATCATAATAAAATAATCATATAATCCAGTGGCTTGTGGTATAGAAATCCTATCTATTGCATTTAACTTTTCCCTCTCATTTTGAAATGTCCTATAAAATCCTTAAGCATTTTTACCATGACTGAACTAGCAGCTTTTTGTATTACTCATATAAATCTATTCCGGAAATGTCTGGTAAATGACTATATTCCTATCATGTTAGGAGTTATCTGCCCATGATTTAAGAGTAAATCCATTTCTTTTTCCTACAAATATAAGTGTAAGGTACTGACCAGGCCAAATGGGTAAACTGTGAATCAACAGAGCATGCTACCACTTCAGTATTTATGGATCTGAATTCTTCAATTCTATCACCAAAAGCGATGATTTCAGTTGGACACACAAATGTGCTGAAAGTTAAAAAAAATTCATTATTCTCAAAATAAGCATATATCTGAACTTTCAAATGACTTTTTACAGATACCTTTAGTAAATAAAAATGCACATTAAGAACAATTTTATATATGAAACTTCCAATATTCCCTTCTCCCTTATGGTAGTACCTGCACCATTTTATTAGCTTTTATTGAATAATACCTTATATAGTGTTTTACAAAGTTAACATCATTGCACTATTTTTTTTTTGATACATTTCTATACCAACTCTATGAGCTAGATGCATCTGTCTGTATTCTGGAGATGAGACAGTGTTCTCTAGTCCATCCCTCCCCACCTCTTTTTGAAAAGGTCCTTTTCTACCTCATCTCCCAGTCCTGGGCAGCCAGGGATTTTACACCTTAATACCCTTATATTGTCAGAAGGGTATGTTTAGAGAATATTACCTGGGGCAGTATTTTCAAACCATGGTAGGGACTCCTTAAACCTGTTTAATGAGTTCCGATTAACATTTAAAAAAGTAAAATATGGCCAGGCACGGTGGCTCACGCCTGTAATCCTAGTACTCTGCGAGGCCAAGGCAGGCGGATTGCTCAAGGTCAGTTCTAAACCAGCCTGAGCAAGAGCAAGACCCCGTCTCTACTATAAATAGAAAGAAATTAATTCGCTAATTAATATATATAGAAAAAATTAGCTGGGCATGGTGGCGCATGCCTGTAGTCCCAGCTACTCGGGAGGCTGAGGCAGGAAGGATTGCTTGAGCCCAGGAGTTTGAAGTTGCTGTGAGCTAGGCTAAGGCCACAGCACTCACGCTAGCCTGGGCAACAAAGCGAGACTGTCTCAAAAAAAAAAAAAAAAGTAAAATATAATAGAAAATATGAGAATACATTGTACATAGTATAGGTAAGTTATGAAACATATGTATACATAGATGCATATATATGTTTGTGTTCAACAGTGGTATTCAAAAATATTTAACAACCTTAACTCATAGTTGGCTTTAGCTCTGGAGGTTTCTGAAAGGGACCAGGTAGAAGGGGTAACTTGGAAAAGAAGGTGTGGAAGTGGCTATTTACCACCTGGTATGGAAGTTTTTCAGTATTTTAAGGAGCATGGCTTTGTTGGTACATATAGACTGAAGAATGATATTCTATATGTGTGCATGTGTATTGGGTGGCAATGAAAAATATATTTTCTACTGTGAGCCATGTTCAAAAAAGTTTGAAAAACATAGATTTAGGGGACAAGTTCCTACCAGAGCCCAATACAGGATTCTAAAATGTTTCAGTTGTTCAAGAACATGATGGCCATGTACAAGCAGACAGTTCTAATCTAGGAATATGTCCCAGGAAACCTGGGCTACAATATGTATTTTTAATATTTTCTAAAGGGTAGGAATGGTCAGTCTCTGCCTTCCTTCGTATTATCCAAGAAATACTACCTAGAGAAACATTTGCCCAACTTCTTAATGAAGACAGAGAAAAAGTTCTGGCAGAAAACTGAAGGGTTATGTTTGTAACTTTCCTCCTCATAGACTGTGGCAAATGCTCCAGAATTCTTCCTTTTCTAGCCAGGCCCAGTCCAGCATTACATAAAAACAGGAAGAAGCTATCTTAGCTCCTTGTCCTAGAAAACCATTGCTAATCTCATGCTCCAATTAGGTATGTCTTATTCATTATGGAGTTTTAAATAATACTAGAGAAACACAGAGCATATTTTTCTGCTGTGTTAGACTAATTTCAAAATTCAGAGTTAGCATTTGTTATATACATTTAACACACATTGTTAACTTTCTGGTTTTATAACATTAATTTGGAAGGCTTATCATTTTTTATATCTATTAAGATTTTTACTTCTGGTTTCTAATAGAAATTAAGTTATACTTTTTAGTTAACCAAGCCATAGTACAAGTTGATTAGAAAGAAGTAGGTTATTACTAATTTAAAAGACTATATATTATGCAGATTCATAACTTGTTTTAGTCTCAAAGTACTAATTTTTGGGACTTCTTCCCATTTGGCTTAGAGCAGGGGTTGGTAAACTTTGGTTGATAGGCCAAATCCAGCCTATTTTTTTATGTAGATAAAGTTTCAATAGAACAGAGCAACATGCATTTGATTTATGGTTGTCTGAAGCTGCTTTGTGCTACAATGGTAAAGTTCAGTAGCTACACAGAGATGATCACAAGACTAAAATACTTACTATCTGGCTCTTTACAAGAAAAAGTTTACCAACCCCAGGCCTAGAAACAACCTATAGGAATGAGCTTAAGTATACCCTCCCTGCAAGTTTAAATTTTATCTACATAGTTTTAGATTAGTTCTAATGGAAAAAGGCACAGTGGCAAAGATAGAAATATCTTCTACTGACTTTTTGCAACCAAAAAATAAATTTAAATATAAAAAAAGTAAATGTTGGAGTAACTCTTTATTGGTCTCTTTTCACTTTCATGGGATTTGAAAAACACTCAAAATAGTGTTTTGCAAAATAAAATTAAATCATCAGTGTGAATAAAGCTGTAAGAATATTTACTGAGTCAACTTTCTGACCATCTACAAAGATGCTCACTGTTGCAGAGTTAAAGAAACCCTCAATAACTGTAACATATTAATAGGTATTATTCCTTAAGCAGTATATAATATTTTCCAGAAAATGTTCAAATCCCAGGAAAGCAACAGATGCAGTAAAAATAAAAATGACAAAACCATAGTTAAATGGTATCACTAGATAAAAGGGATTATTAATTTTCTAGTTAACAGATATGTTAAACAGAATTATGGCATAAGTGTTGCTATTAAATGCTTTCTAAAATATTATCAGTCCATTTACTTGCCTTAGTAGGTATAGTTTAATGAACATATTGTAGCTTTCCTCTAACTATTCCATTATAACACAGTCATGTAGATATATAAGTATAATGTATTGAGGTCATTGTGTTATGACTGAAATATATAGATGTTGCTCTTTTTAAGAGCCAAGGGATGAATAAAGTAATTTTTAACTATTTCATGTTCTTGAATCATGATTGATAAAGACTGGGTTTTATCAGCTGCTATTTACATGTATTACTTACAAATCAAGTGGATAGAAGAAAAAAACCAAGTATTTCCCACGATAATCAGTTAACTTGAGCTCCTTAAATTCACCATTTATCACAGCTGTTCCTTCCCAATAAGGTGCTGACTTGGAAACTAAGAAAGAAAAAGACATGATATTCTATAATACCGAGAAAGTTGGTGGAATGGCAGAGGACATCTTTAGAAAATCAGTAAAACTTAGGGCTTCTAAACCTTTGGATCTTTTTGGCAGTCTGGGAAGCTTATAGATTTCTTAGAATAGTGTTATTGAACTCTAAAGTAATACATAGAATTACAAAGGAAACAAATTATATTTAAATTCAATTATCAAAGTATTGAAGAACAGATTGGTGGCCGGGCGCAGTGGCTCATGCCTGTAATCCTAGCACTTTGGGAGGCCGAGGCGGGTGGATCATTTGAGCTCAGGAGTTCGAGACCAGCCTGAGCAAGAGTGAGACCCCATCTCTACTAAAAATAGAAAGAAATTAGCTGGACAACTAAAAAATATATATATAGAAGAATTAGCCGGGCATGGTGGCACATGCCTGTAGTCCCAGCTACTTGGGAGACTGAGGCAGTGGGATTGCTTGAGCCCAGGAGTTTGAGGTTGCTGTGATCTATGCTGATGCCACGGCACTCTAGCTGGGGCAACAAGAGTGAGACTCTGTCTCCAAAAAAAAAAAAAAAAAAAAAAAAAAAAAAACAGATTGGTGATATAATAATGCATGTGTTCTTTTATTAACACTTTAAAACCGTAAGATCTAGCAGTGATCTAACTACCTAAGATAACGATGAGTATAAATGATGTTTTCAGATACCTGCAAATAACCAGAATGTAGCATGAAAATTTCTGGGATTCTATTGGTGACAGCTATAAGCAAGTACTGCTGAAGCTAGTGTGGTTTCTTGCTGACATTCATAATAGGAGGCAATGCTAAGTTTCAGTTGGGCATGAGTGAAAATATACTTTTTTTTTGGAGACAGGCTCTCATGCTGCTGCCCAGGCTAGAGTGCAGTGGCGTCATTATAGCTCACTGGAACCTCAAACTCCTAGGCTCAAGAGTTCTGAGTAGCTGGGACTACAGGAGTGTACCACCATGCCTGGCTAGTTTTTCTGGTTTTTGTTTGTTTTTTTGGGGGGGTAGAGATTGTGGAGGGCAGGGTGTCTCGCTATGTTGCTTTGGTTGGCCTCAAGTGGATCTCCTTGTCTTGGCCTCCCAAAGTGCTAGGATTACAGGTGTGAGCCACCATACCCAGCTGACCTTTTTTTTCTATTCATGCTCACAGACCCCTTACATTCTACTCCTGCACTAAACTCTACTGGATACTTCACTATAGCCCCTACAAGTTATCAATGTCCTACATTTCAAATAATTAGATTTTTCTTTCTCTAATGGCAGTCTTCCAGACGTACTTATTTAGTTTGTCCAGCTTCTCATATATACATGGAAGACCTGCTGTAGATGAGGCAACACTCAAGGAGGTGGAAATTTGCAAACACATCAGATGAGAACTGAATCCCAGAGCATGGAATAATTTTCCTAGAGAGCACTGAAAGAGGAGACACCCTTGAACAAGTTTCAAGTTACCTGATGGAAATTGAACAGTTCATGCTGCTCTCTTGTAAAGGTACACTGTAATTCTAGCCAATACACTTTGATAATAATGTACCTTCACGCTCTGTTAACACATTCAGACAGCACTTATACTTTAAGAACCATTACATACATTGAGGTTAATACTTGCTTTCAAGTTTGACTAAGGTTTCTAGAAAGCAAGGCTTATACTTTTGTATAACAGCTAGCCAGCATTTATGGTCACTCTGAAAATAGAGACAAACTGAATATGAATTTCTCTGTGAAGTTAATATATAACATGTGATTACTTATCTTAGCCTACCTCATATAAGAATCCTGATCTGATTAGGCAAAGGCCAGGAGGGAGAAACACATAGCAGAAGGATACTGAATTATATATGCTTTATATACATTTCTTAAAATGCTACTCAAGTGAGAGGTTATAATAATTATAATGATGTTATAATGATACTCCTTAATGATGTTAGTGTATTGGGAAAACCATATCTAAACATTGATTTTGGAAATGTTGGGTTCTTAAGAACTGCAGTTACTTTGCTAAGACCTATAAATGGAATCCCCAAAGCAACCCCATGCATCTATTAAGAAACAAAAATTGTCCTGAATATAAATTATATAATAAACATATAAAGATTCTGGTATAGTCTGAGCAAGAATGAGACCCCGTCTCTACTAAAAAACAGAAAAAATTAGCCGAGCATGGTGGGGCATGCCTGTAGTCCCAGCTACTTGGGACGGAGGCTGAGGCAGGAGGATCACCTGAGCCCAGGAGATAGAGGTTGCTGTGAGCTAGGCTGACGCCATGGCACTCTAGCCTGGGCAACAGAGTGAGACTCTGTCTCAAAAATAAAAAAGATTCTGGTAAATGCAAATAAGGATAAAAAAGAATGTTTAAATCCTCTGTCTTTATAACACCTATCAATTTAACTACTGTTAACATTTTTCTTTTTGTTTCTTAGCCATCCATTCATTTTTCTGGGAACTACTGTTAACTTTTTGATGTCTGTCTTAGCAGTCTTTTTTAAACACACAAATTTGGATCAAGTTGCACTCCCCTTTTTTTTCTCTTTAAAGGAAACAAAGCATGAACAGTTTTTCATGTAACTAAAAATTATTTGAAAATATGGTCTTAATGGCTCCATAATATTCAATTTTATGAATAGAAGTTCTTGTATCTTTAATTCTAGATATGCCTACATATGACAGAGAAATGTAGCAAGTAACTAAAATTTAAAAAGTTTTGCTGGTAAAGGGAAAGGTATTATTACTACTATTTTCTGCTTCCATAAGCAGTTTCGAAGTGCCTGTATTTCCTAAGGGAAATATATGTAATATCAGTAAACACTTAACTGGCTGACATATTTCAAAATGTCTTCCCAAGCAAGTAAAACCAACTGGACTTGGAAATACTCATTTTAAAAGTGAAAGACTGGTTTTCTAAAAAATAAAAAATCCAAAAGTCGCTACCTTTCAGCAGGAAAGAATTGGAAATGTTTTGGGAGGCAAAACAGTTTTTTTCATTTATTACTCCCACCCCATCCTAAGTCATAACAGCATTCCATTTAACTCTGGAGATTCATAACTTAGAAGCATTACTTTTTTATGGAATACTGGCAAGGAACATGCTGTAAAATTGAACCACAAAAGCCAAATACACTCCTATGGACTGTCAATCTGTAGGAAAAGCAGGTTACTGCAAAGCTAGCAAGGGACAGCTTTTATCTACAGCTGGTCACTTCTTTTTGGCTAATTTTAACATCCAGATGCAGCAGGCCACAACTTTCTCAGTATCTACTTAGTCTGACGTGTCATTCCTGAAAGTGGCTATTAGCTTTGGACACTGGAGAGAAATGTAAATAATCAAAAACCAAATTGGCAGGACATAAATTTGCCACGAGGTTTATCATCAACCCAAATGCATTACTTCCAACCCCGTTTCTTCCCTGTTTCTCTTCAAAGTACACCCTGTTACAGGTTCTTCACTTCTGAGAAACATAAAGAGTACCCATTAACTATACAGGTTTTGGGGAAAGTGGCTTTTAATTATAATCTTCTTTATAAGATGCAACAAAAAAAAAAGAAAAATGAAACGTTTGACCCCCCCCAAGCATTTTGTTTAGCGACTTTTCTATTTAATCAAACTTTCTGTGAATCGTTATTCAACCTATCAATGTATTCTTCCCTGAAATAGTACTTGAAAAGAGACGGGACGTGCAGCAGGCACTTTGTGATGTTTCAGGAAGTGTTTTAGTTTGCACAACATCCTCGATGCCCGCAAGCCCGAGACTAGGGCCATTCTTTCTTTCATCTGTGGCTTTTAGAGTAACCACAACCTCTTCCAAAATCTGACTAGTGGAAACCATCCCTTTCTTCACAGCTAGAATCTCCCTTTATCCTACCCCCTCCCCCTCTTGGAGAGAACCACGCCAGCCCAGAGCCCGGAGGCAGTCCAAGGGGTGCCGCCCAAGCCCCGGCCCCAGGGTGTAACCAGTGTACACGTGTCTCCGGGCTCTCTCCACCCCCACCCCACCCTTGACGGGGCACCACCTACTCTTGGCTTTGCTTAGGTGCAGGGAATGGTCTGCGACCGAAACCCGGGATGCTTCCCCCGGGTACACTTGTCCACCCGCGTAGAAGTGGCACTCCTCTTCGCGGGTCCGGGGCCTCTCTTCTGCCTCCAAGCCCCGCAGAGGCCCAGCCGGCAGCAGGAACAGCAGCAGCGGCAGCAGCAGGAACTTTCGGACCCGGCCAGGGACCGGCATCGTCGCAGCTAGCAGCAACGGGGGAGCCTCCATGACCACACGAGTGCAAAAACGGGTCCCTCAGTGCGAGCGCAGCTTCTCCCGCCGCCAGGCAGCTACAACCGCGTGCACGACGCCCGCGCGAGCCGGGGCGCGGCCTCGCGAGACCTGCCCCGCCCCCCCGCTCCGCGCCCCGCCCCGCCCCGCGCCCCGCCCCCCAGCTCCGCGCCCTGCACCCCGCACCCCCGTCCCCCACCTTCCCGCTCCGCGCCCCGCCCCGCCACGTGGGCACCAGCCCCACCTCCTCGTCCCCAGCCAGCTTTTGCGCCTGCGCCCCGGGGCGGGCCAGGGCCGGAGTATCGCCCAACTCTGCAGAGGTGTCCAGGGCTCGCACGGTGCCGCCCTTTGCACTGTTTTAGACATCCTTCCACGCCCATCTCATCCACAAAGCCTCACCATGGCACACCATCCACTCAAAAGCTGGAACTTACCTATACGCCTGTGAACGGCTTGCATTTTATACTTCTAATAGACTTTTTTTAGAAAGTCACTTAAAATTTTAAATTGACACATAATTGTATATATTTATTGGGTGCAATGTGATCTTTTGATATATGTAGCCAATGTGGAATGATTAAATCATGCTAATTGACATATCCATCACCTAGTTTACCTATCATTTTTATGGTGAGACATTTCAAATTTACTGTCCTAGTTATTTTAAAATATACAATACATTATTATTGGCTATATTTACGTGGCTGGTTACCAGAGGCTGGGAGGTGGAGGGGGAAAGGGAGGGATTAGGGAGTTATTGGTCAAAGGGTACAAAGTTTCAGATAGGAGGGATAAGTTTTGAGATCTAATAGTCATTTACTCATTTTTTTTTCCTTGAAGTGATTTGTGTGAACAGTGCCATGGCTCCCCTTTCTAGTTGCAGCCCTTTTAAGTCCTAGGAAAACTTCTCCAATAGACAAGGGTAAACAGGTAGTTTTTGGTGACTTATGATTGTGTCTCAAAGATGTCTATTTTTTTTTTAAATCAAGACTTGAAAAGTTCCCAGAAAACCTTTTCTCCCAGCACAGTGTTGTTCCATTCTCTGACAATTGCCCCATCACCCACCCACATAACCTCTCCCCCTTCCTCCTCACCCACTTAAAGCCCTCTCCCCGCTCCTCCACCCCCACCGTGGGCACCGCCCCCTTCCCATCGGCCACCTGGTGTTTGCGCCTGCGCACTGGGGGCAGGCCAGGCTGTCAAGCGTCCGCCATCTTTGCGGAGACCCTCTTGTGGTGTCACCTGTAATTGCCCTCCTGCTCACCCACCATCAGTACTGTTTTAGACCCTGCTTATCCTTCCATGCCCACCTTTTCCACAAATCCTCACCAGTGACTGGCCTCCCGCACTCAGCACTGTTTTAGAGCCTCTCATCCTTCCACATGTAGCTCTGCCACAAAGCTATGGAGGTAACCGGCCTTCAGCCCTTAGCACCGTTAGACCCTTTCATCCTACCACAAAGCACTCCTCCTTCCCAAAGTGAAAACTAACCTTTTTGCCTCGACTGGCTTGCATTTTATCCCTCTAACAGTTTTATTATTTTCCTTGCAGTGACCTGTGTGAACAGTGCCATGACTCTCCTTTCTAGGGTTAACCTTTTTTAGGACCTCGAAAAACTTGGAGAAGATCTAACCTGAAAAGCAGTATCTCTAGACTGTTTCTTATCTTCTAGCAGGGAAGGATCTACAGGGCGAACAGGCAGTTTGGTGACTTAAGCCTGTCTCAAGGTGTGTGTTTTCCTTTTTAAAATCAAGACTTGAAAAGTTCCCAGAAAACCCTCTCAGCACATTGTTGTTCCATATTCTGACAAATACACCATCAGCCACCCATTTGCTAGGATGGGAGGTGAAGACACAGCATACAACAGAAAGACAGGAGCCACCAGCAGCCTATATGCCCCCAGGGTCCCCTCTGTCTTCCTGTGAGCTCCTGATATCTTTTCTGAATCCCGCAGAAGCCATTCTAACAGTCTGTTTTCCTTTGTTTGACCATCAGCTCCCTTGGGCTGACATCAATTTCTAAGTCCTCTTTGTTTCCCAAAGTATCTGGCACACAGTAGGCGTTTGATGTTGCAAGCACTTGATTTCTAAATAACACCTACTATTCCAAACAGCCTGTCTCAGTTTCAGGTTGCTTTCACACATTATATACTTGCTCCTTGTGACAACCCTTTGTGGCAGATAGAAAAATTTCCCCTTTCTAAACTCATCCCTCACCTTAGTTCTGTCCATTGTATGCTCTGCTTTCTGCTTCCTGTGGGCAAGGGATGAAAAAGGTGAAGCCATCCCCCTTCTGCCAAGGGAGGTAGAGCAGGTACTTACCCATTACATTGTCCGACAGCTCTTCACTTTCTGGGGGCACATAGATAGGAGGCCTGGGACGAGGTAGCTCTCGCTCCCATTCTTCTCCTTCCCTGGCCTCCTGTTCTACATGAAAGGGGAGTGGAGCCCGGGGGGCTCGGGACTGAGTTCCAGGGATTCGGTTCAGGCCTATGCTACGTGGTCGGCTTCGGTGATCCATGGTGACTGTTAGACAAACAGCCACAAACCTGAGTGAATTTCAGGCCCTGAGCTGGGCCTCTAAGTTTGGACCTGGGAATGTAAGCTTAGAGACAGTGTTATGTCTCTTTGCTCTGGGCTAAGGTGAGATGGTCTAGCTGGCAGCAGGGACTGCCCACCAAGTGGGCCCCAGTAAACCTCCTGCCCACTGGAGAGACTGACCAGGTTGGCCAGCTCTAAGGTACCTCCTGTTCATCCTCAGCTCCACTGGAACCCCTTGGCAGCTGACATTCTGGGTGGTAGTTGCTCTGAATCCTTCCATCCAATGATATTTGTGCAGACATTGTGCTGTCATAGTGACATCAACAAGGAGGCTTGAGGTGGGGGCCTTGCCCTCGAGGCACTTAACATCCAGCTGGTGTCAGTTGCCCATATTAATAATAAAAAACCATCAGACACTGAGGGGTGGTTCTGAACCCAGGATGTACCTCAGAAACACTTGGGGAGCTTTAAAACATTCAAGTGCAGGGACCATAGCCCCAGACATGATGATTTAACAGGTCCTTGCGGGGCTCCAGTTGTCTTTATTTTTATAAATGGGCATGTCTGGTTAAGAACCACCGATGGTGGTTTAAGAGCACAGGTTGTAGGGTAAGCTGTTTTTAGGTTCAAATCTGAGCTTTGCCGCCTATTGGGCTTGTGGCCTTGAGAAAAGTATTTAACCTCTCTGGGCCTCAGTTTCTTAATCTGCAGATGAAAGACAATAATAGTTGCCCCGCGTTGTGAAACTGGAATGATAGAATACATGTAAAGCCTAATTTTGAATGTGGGCCAGACCTAGGGACTCATTTCTAATGAATATGGCAAAAGTAATGCTTTATTACTTCTGAGGCTAGGTCATGAAAAGAATAGCTTCTGTCTATCTTGCACCTGGATTACTCATTCTGGGGGAAGACTTTTTGTCCAGTTTTTTTATTGAGAAAAAATTCACAAAACATGATTTTTTTTCATTTTAAAGTGTATAATTCAGTGGTTGCTAGTACAGTCACATTGTTGTGCTTTATGCTCACCACTACCTGATTCCAGAACATTTCTATCACCCCTCCCCAAAAACCCCATACCTATTAATCACTCCCAATTATCCTCTTTCCCTCATCCACTGGCAACAACTAATCTACTTTCTCTCTCTATAGACTTGCTTAGTCTGGATATTTCATCTAAATAAAATCATACAGTATGTGGCCTTTTGTGTCTGGCTTCTTTTAAGCATAATATATTCGAGGTTCATCCATGTTATATCACATATTGGTGATTCCTTGCTTTTTTATTGTAGTAAAGTATATATAAGATAATATTTACCATTTTAACCATTTTAAGTGTGTAATTTAGTGGCATTAAGTACACTCACATCGTTGTACACTCATCATCACCATCCTCCAGAATTATTTTATCTTCCCATTAAACACTAATTTTTGATTACTCCCTCCCTGCCAGGCCCTGAAAACCAACATTCTACTTTCTGTTTCTATGAATTTGAATACTTTAGGTACTTTATATGAGTAGGATCGTATAATATTTGTCCTTTTGTATCTGGCTTCTTTCACTTAAGCTTAATGCTTTCAAAGTTCATCCATGTTGTGTGTATTGGTACTCCATTCATTTTTATGGCATAATAATATTCCATTGTTGGATATACTAGTTTCAGTTATCCATTCATAAATTAATGGATATTTGAGTTGTTTATACTTTGAGAATAATGATGCTGTGAACATCCATGTATAAGTTTTTGTGTGAACATATGTTTTCAGTTCTGTTGGATTTATATACCTATACTGGAATTGTTGGGCTCTATGGTAACTCTATGTTTAACTTTTTGAAGACCATACCATTTTTCATTCATATCAGCAATATATTAAGGTTCTAATTTCTCTACATCCTCTTCAACATTTTTTATTGCCCAGTTTTTGCTTATAGTCATCCTAATGGATGTGAGGTTGTATCTCCTGGTGGTTTTGATTTGCATTTTCCAAATGACTAATGTTGAGCATCTTTTTATGTGCTTTTTGGCCATTTATATATCATCTTTGGAGAAATATCTACTTAAATCTTTTGCCCATTTAATAATTGAGTTGTTTTTATTTTTGTTGAGTTGTAAAAGTACTTATATATTCTGGATACTAAATCCTTAATCAGATGTATGATTTGTACATATTTTCTCCCACTCTGTGGGTTGTCTTTTCACTTTCTTGTTAGTGTCCTTTGATGCAAAAGGGTTTAATTTTGATGAAGTTCAAGTTATATTTTTGGTTGCTTTCGCTTTTGATGTCATGTTTAAGAAGCCATTGCTTAATTCAAGGTCATAAAGATATACACCTATGTTTCCTGCTAAGAGTTTTGTAGTTATAGCTTTTATATTTATGTATTTGATCCATTTGAGTTCATTTTTTTTTTTTTTTTTTTTGAGACAGAGTCTCGCTTTGTTGCCCAGGCTAGAGTGAGTGCCGTGGCGTCAGCCTAGCTCACAGCAACCTCAAACTCCTGGGCTCGAGTGATCCTTCTGCCTCAGCCTCCCGGGTAGCTGGGACTACAGGCATGCGCCACCATGCCCGGCTAATTTTTTATATATATATCAGTTGGCCAATTAATTTCTTTCTATTTATAGTAGAGACGGGGTCTCGCTCTTGCTCAGGCTGGTTTTGAACTCCTGACCTTGAGCAATCCGCCCGCCTGGGCCTCCCAAGAGCTAGGATTACAGGCGTGAGCCACAGCGCCCGGCCTGAGTTCATTTTTGTGTATGGTCTGAGGTAGGGACCAGGAACACTTTCTGAGCACTCATTATGTGCCACTGTCTTTGGGAGGCAGCAGTAACAAAACGGACATGTTCCTGCTATTATCAAGCTAAAATTCCAGTGATGCTCACAAATATCAGTCAGTGGTCTTATAAGTGACTATATGTAAATTGACTTGATTATACAAAGTTTCTGACCTATAATGGGGGCCCAGAAAGTGTGGGGACTCTGGGAGAAGGGCATACAATTGTATGGTTGGCAAAGTTGCAATATTGTTTTGGGGCTCGGTGATATGGAGGAAATCCCCATCTGACATTGTCATGGGGATATTTGCAGGTTCCTTGGGAGACCTCAGAGTGTAGGCCCATGACATATCCTGTATCTTTCCTCTGGCCACTTAGACTATTTTTACTCCCTAGGCCTTTTTTGGCCCACCTTTGTGTTGGAATCCTTCCACCCCTCTGGGTGGCATGCTTAGTTACTTTTCCTTTTAAAACCATCTCAGGCCACTCTCTTTTATGTGATCCACATTTATTCCCTGGAAACAGATTTTTCTGCACTTGCTGGGAGTTCAGTTTACATTCAAGGCTGCTATTTTATTGTCCTTTCTGCAAGGAGCTTCTCCAGGCCCAGCCTCTACACTTTTCTTTTGTGAGTCAGACACTAGTCCCTGTGATCCTTAACCTTCAGGAGATATAAGTCAAGCTTTCTGAAGCTTTTTGTCATTTGCTTGAGGTAATGGGGAAGTAACATTTGTCCCTTTCTCATTTCAGGAGAATTCATCTACCAAGTTGTGTGAGCATTCAGACAGCCTTTGGAGAGATCCATGTGGGAAGAAACTGACGCCTCCCACAAACTACCAGAACTGCCTTGCCAGGCTTGTGACAGTACCTCCTTAGAAGTAGATCTTCCAGCTCCAGTCAATTCTGATGTTGCAGCCCTAGCTTATATCTTGGCTATAGCCTCATAAGATACTCTGGGCCAGAATCTCCAGATCAGCTATTTCTGAATTTGTGACCCACACAAACTATGAGTTTAATAAATATTTATTGCTGTTTTAGACCTAAACAGTAAAGCTTTAGTACAGTTCCTGGTAAAAAACATTGTTACTCTCCTTATTCATATTAGAAAATATCAGAGTCAGTTTAAAAAGTAGTAGTTCAGAAGATTAAAGGTGGGCTAGTGTGCTCAGGAAAGGCTCATAAAGCAGAGTCATGAATGGTTGTCTTACACTGTATGAACATTTAAAGTAGCCCTTAGGCCAATATGGAAAAGTTTTGCTGCTTTATCATTTGTACATGTAGGCAGGATTCAGTAGTGGGAAAGGATGGAAGAAGGGCAAATTTCAACATGATTTTCACTTTAATTTACATTTGTTAGAATGAGTAGGAAAAGAGTGCCTAATGACCAGAAGACTCTCTCAGACATTTCTCACAAGCCAGGGACATGTGTTTTTCTACAGTAATCTTTTTAAAAAGTCTTATAAAATCTTAAATCTGAAGAAAACATAAAAAAAAAAAAACACTTTAAAAAAATTGGCCAGGTATGGTGGCTCATAACTGTAATCCTAGCACTTTGGGAGGCCAATAAGGGAGGATTGCTTGAGGCCAGGAGTTCAAGACCAGCTTGGGCAACATACTGAAACCCCATCTCTGCAAAACAAATAAGAAAAATTAGCCAGTCATGATGGAATATGCTTGTAGTCTTAGCTATTCAGGAGACTGAGGCAGGAGGGTCCCTTGTGGGCAGGATTTTGAGGCTGCAGTGGTTTAAGGAAAGGGGATGAGCATCCTAGTGGTCTAGAAAACAGTAGGATAGAAGTATTGACATTGGCAGGGATAAAGTAAACCCCAGGATCTGGATGAATCCAGGGATTGTATAACATGAGTCACCCTCTTAATTTAAAAGAGGAGGAAATTTGAACCTAGGAAAGGGTACCAAGCTAGAAAATGGCAGAGCTTGGCTTTGAGCTCAGATGTTCAGACTCCAGATTCCTTGTTGCTCCAGTGGTCTACTCTTTTTGCAATGCAGTCTTCAGGTTTGAGATGGATAGAATTTTGTGTTTGTTTTGTAAAATGTGAGAACCTCATCATTTTTTGCATTTCTTTTTCCTTTGTAGTATTTTATTTTTTTGAGACAGAGTCTCACTTTGTTGCCCAGGCTAGAGTGCCGTGGCATCAGCCTAGCTCACAGCAACCTCAAACTCCTGGGCTCAAGCGATCCTCCTGCCTCAGCCTCCCCAGTAGCTGGGACTACAGGCATGCACCAACATGCCCGGCTAATTTTTTCTATATATTTTTAATTGGCCAATTAATTTCTTTCTATTTATAGTAGAGACAGGGTCTCGCTCTTGCTCGGGCTCAGGCTCAGGCTCAAGGCTGGTTTCGAACTCCTGACCTTGAGCGATCCTCCCGCCTCGGCCTCTCAGAGTGCTAGGATTACAGGCGTGAGCCACTGTGATCGGCCTCCTTTGTAGTATTTATCAAAGTTAGTAATTATGCATTTCTGTGATTATGTGATAAATGTCCATTAGGCTATAAACTCAACGATGAAAGGGACCTTGTCTGTTTTGCTCATAGAAATATTCTCAGTAACAGTTAAAATGTCTGGCAATACTATATTCCCAATAAATAACTACTGAGAATATTAATGAGAACCTGATCATTAAGGGGAGGTAGGAGATCCTTGTTAAGACTGAGGTCATTTGCAGGTGTATATATTTTATGAAATGGGGAAGAAGGGAAAGATGGAGAAGGGAGAACCAAGAAAACAGGAGAAAGTCAAGAAAAAATCGAGGAAAAACAGGGTTAGGAGTGAAAACTATGGAGTGGGGAGCCATAGAGAGGAGGGAAAGCCAGTATCCCTTAGTCCCATTCTTCTGTGAGTTGTTAGGGTACCTGCAGACCCTGCCACTTGTGTGCCTGCTGAAGCTTTCTCTGAGTTACTTGCCTCCTTGTTTTTGGAGGATCAGCTCCTGTGTGAACTTCTCTCCTACCTTTCAAGCAGAGGTTTTTAGACTAGTGGTTTTATCAAGGAGCTTCTGTTCTTTCATATTTAAAGGGCTATGTAAAAATTACTAGAAGTATAGGTTGTGCTTAGCTGAGAAGTCATTATGTGTTATAATTTCCAGCCATGGCCTCTCAAATAGTCCAGTTTTCTGAAAGCTTTTGTTATTTGCTTGAGATAGTGGAGAAATCATTCTTTTTTTAGGAAAAGTCATCCACCAAGTCTTAAAAGACTTTCCAGCATCTTCTGGAGAGGCCCATGTGGGAAAAAACCACTTTGGAAGCAGATCTTCCAGTTCCAGTGGATTCCGATGACTGCAGCCCTGGATAACATCTTGACTACAGCCTCATGAGATGCTGGGCGGCAACCTCCTAGCTCAGTTGTTTCTGAATTCGTGACTTGTACAAACTGTAAGTTTGATACATGTTTTTTATTACTTAATTTTGCAGCTTTTTGAAGTAGAATTCATATACATAAACTTTGCTATTTTAAAGTGTACAGTTGAGTTTAGTATTTCTACTGTTATTTAATAATTACCACTCTTTCATTCCAGAATGTTTTCATCACCCGAAGATGATACCCCACACCTTTTAGCAGTCACTCTCAGTATCCCCTATTCTCTATTACCTGACAACTACTAATCTATTGTCTGACTCTATGGAGTTGCCTATTGTGGATATTTCCTATAAATGGAATCATATAATATATGGTCTTTTGAGAATAGCTTCTTTTTTTTATTTATTTTTTTTTTTTTTGAGACAGAGTCTCTCTTGTTGACCAGGCTAGAGTGAGTGCCTTGGCGTCAGCCTAGCTCACAGCAACCTCAAACTCCTGGCTCAAGCAATCCTTCTGCCTCAGCCTCCCGAGTAGCTGGGACTACAGGCATGCGCCACCATGCCCGGCTAATTTTTTTTTTATATATATATTAGTTGGCCAATTAATTTCTTTCTATTTATAGTAGAGACGGGGTCTTGCTCTTGCTCAGGCTGGTTTCGAACTCCTGACCTCGAGCAATCCGCCCGCCTCAGCCTCCCAGAGTGCTAGGATTACAGGCGTGAGCCACCGCGCCCGGCTGAGAATAGCTTCTTTCATGCAACATAATGTTTCAGCGTTTATCCATGTTGTAACACATGTCAATACTTCATTCCTTTTTATGGGTGAATAATATTCTATTATCAAGGTATAACATATTCTGTGTATTGATCAGCTGATGGACATTTAGATTGTTTCCTTTTTTGTCTATTATGAATAATGGTGCTATGAATATTTGAGGATAAGTTTCTGTGTGAGCATATGTTTTCAATTATTTTTGGTATATGCCTAGACTGGAATTGCTGGGCCATATTTTGTGTTTGACTTTTTGAGTACCTGCCAAAGTGTTTTCCACAACTGCACCATTGAACCCCAGCAATGTATAAGGGTTTCCATTTCTCCAAATCCTTGCCAACTCTTGTTACTGTTCTTGTTTTTCATTATAGTCACCCTAAGAGTGACATGGTATCTCATTGTGATTTTGATTTGCATTTGTCTATTGACTAATGATGTTGAGCCTCTTTTCATGTGCATTTTGGCCATTTGTATATCTTCCTGGGAGAAATGTCTATTCATATGTTTGCCCATTTTTTTTTTTTTTTCCGAGACAGAGTCTCGCTTTGTTGCCCAGGCTAGAGTGAGTGCCGTGGCGTCAGCCTAGCTCACAGCAACCTCAAACTCCTGGCTCAAGCAATCCTCCTGCCTCAGCCTCCCGAGTAGCTGGGACTACAGGCATGCGCCACCATGCCCGGCTAATTTTTTTTTTATATATATATTAGTTGGCCAATTAATTTCTTTCTATTTATAGTAGAGACGGGGTCTTGCTCTTGCTCAGGCTGGTTTTGAACTCCTGACCTCGAGCAATCCGCCCGCCTCGGCCTCCCAGAGTGCTAGGATTACAGGCTTGAGCCACCGCGCCCGGCCAAGATTTTAATTTTGAAGATTTCAAATTCAGTTATTTTTTCTTTGGTTGCTTATGCTGTTGGTATCATACTAAAGAAATGATTGTATAATACAAGGTTGCACATAATCACAAGTATTTTTCATTCTAAGATGTTTATAATTTATAAATGGGAGAAGTTGATTATGAAAAGGGAGGAAGGAGAACCTAATTGAAGCCCAGGATTCTAAGAAAGTCTTGTAGTACTGGGCCTCTGATCTGAGTCAGAGAGCCACTGCATTCTTTATAGATATTCCTTTGCATAATAAACAAGAATAGGAGAGAAGTAAGGAAAAGTAATGATAAAGAGGAATATGGCAGAGAAAGGGAGAACAAAGGGGACAGGGAAGAATACTGGGAAGTTCTGGTGAAGGCAATCTAGTGTCCCTTTATCTCATTTTTGTAGGTGTTGTCAGGGTGTACACAAATACCCCACATATGTGACTGTCAGGTTTTTCTGGACCCAAATCCACCTAGTTCTTAGAATTTTCATATTGGCTTGTCTCCAGTATGATGTTATCCATACACTTTTAAGCCTGCATGTTTAGTATTGTGGGCTCTCTTAGGATGCCTATATTGTAAATTTAAGGACTCCTTAAAAATTTGATTTCACTGTAGTTTCACACATCTAGTCAGCATGACCGACCAACGTGGGTAATGCTTCATTTTGGAGAACACTAGTTTCTCATGTTTATATTTGTTCTGCTATTTGTATAGCAGCATGTCAGTCCTCCAGACTCCACACGCTCCACTCCAGTCCAGGAAGCCTGAGCTCAAGTTTGTGTGCTAGGTAGTGGAGGTACCTTGAGTGGTCTGTCCACTCAAATGGTATATAGGCCCCTAGTCGAAGCTGTTGAACTTTCACAAGGACTGGGTGCTTGTTGCTCCAGAGCTTTTGACATATTGACTCTATGGGATTTTAAGTCCTTCCTCTCAGAGGCTGCTAAGTCCACTATGTTCTATGGGAAATATACAGGTGAGACCCTGCAGGCTGAAATGGGATGCTTTCATTTAAGCATCATAGGTGTCAAGTATGGCACCATTGACTCCTGTCTCAGAAGTTATCTGCCCACATGTTCCCAGCCACTTCTTTCTTTCTTTCTTT